TCTTTTTATACCATCGTTTGTTCGAATGTCTATTACATTCCTGATGATGCCAACTGAAAGCTCGAATAAAGTATTTTCAAGACTGAAAGTCATGTTATTCATAGCAGTTCTATATTCGATTTACAAATACTTATTTCCAACTGCTCTACCAACAAATTTCATAATTATCTTGACTTAACGACATTTCGTCAGAAATATGTGTATTACAAAATACAAATGAACAGATGCTTGAACAGACGTTTTAACTCGTCATTTCTGTAGTCTTAAACTTACCAGTGTACTTGTCTACAGATGGAATTGCAGTTATGACTCTAATATGATGCTACTACAAATCACATTTTTTAGGGTTATACGTACAGTTAATCGGTTTTTAATGAAAAACCATATCGTCTTTTATCACATATATATATATCGTCTACAAAAAAAAGAAATGAAAAAATTTACATCAAATCACCCTGTATGTGAAATTCTTCCACAACACAGAGCAAAAATAAAATCACACTAGAAAAAGAAAAAGCAGCAAAAAAAAACAGACAAATATTTTGAAATTCAATGTTTACGTTTCCTTGGTACATTAACAATTAATTCTAAATTTGTGTCAACATCCAAATCATCTTGATAATCATCAAGTTCACCTTCTTCACTTTTCCTTTCGTCAAAGTCAAGTTGCTGATCACGAAGTACACGAGCCAGATATTCATATTTACGTCGTTGATTCTCGATTATTTTATCCACTTCGAAGTCAAATTGTTGAAAATCTAAACGAAACCAAAAGCATAAATAAAGATAGATCTAAAGAATTATTTTAGCTCTAGTTCAAACTGTGATCATATCTTCCATCTGAAATCACCACAAAAACTAAATAAAACCGAGCTGAAGATTTTCTTAAAACTTGAAGTAGGACTTGAGTTTTTTTTACTTCGAGTTCGAGCGATTCAATTTTTAAGGTAAATGAACAAAAAATTTTGATATTTTCATTTTGTTGTTGAAATTGGAATTGTTAAAATATAACAAAAGTTTACTTCAGTAACTTTTCTGTTACAACAAGATTGATGCATTATATGGTATAGAAAAAAAAGAAATAAACTACAATAATCAAAAAAAGAATCTGAAAGATTATCGGCTCGAAGTAGACTCACACTGAATTTTTTAAGAACTCAAACTCGATACTGTCAGTCCGAATTCTCCCAACCCTGGTTACAAGCGTTTACTTGCTTACCATTCAAAAATTCAATTTGATATTCTTGTTCTAAATCGATTAATTGTTGATTGTAGTCATTTTCTATTGCTCTTAAACGTTCATACGTTTGCATATTTTTTGTACTGTTCACAGAGACCAATCCTATAGATGGCAATATTTGTGATGGGGATGAAATCGAAGATGTACAAGATATGGATGTTGAATTAATACGAGATTGTCTTGGTGAATTTTGTCTGAAAGAAACAGTTCGACTAGTATGAATATTAAATGTTGGACGATTTTCATTTCGATGATGATGTGAATTATAATTGTAAATTTCATCTGGACGTATCGCTGTTTGAACATCTAATTGAACACCTTTGAAAAATAATAAAGAATAAATTTATAGAGAAATTATAAATTAAGAACATTTAATTTTTACCTTTAATTTGATGATTATATTTTTTTAATATAGTTCGTATTGGATTAATGTTGTCAAATTCCAGATAGCAGTAATTATTTTTATCATCTTGCGGATTTTCTACAATTGTACAATTCAAAATTCGTCCGTATCGTTTGAATGATTTCATTATTTCATTACGAGCTATCGATCGGTTAAATCCTTTAATACATATTTTTTTATCTAATGACAAACGTGGTGGTTCACTATCATTATCATTGTTCATTACATCTTTGTACAATTTCACATCTAAACAAAATAGTTATACAGAAAGAATGTTAAGTTAGAAGTAAATACTTCTTACCAAGAACAATTCGAGCAATAACATGATCTCGTGCTGTTAATAATTTTTGTAAATTTATGTTAGAATTGTGATCGAATTTAAGAAATCGATAATCTATTCGCCACAGATTTGTTTCATCATTACAATTATGATAACATTCGATTATTTTACCAAATTGTGAAAAATATCGAATTAATTCATTATCTGGTATTGATTGAATATTCCCGACATAAATCGTATTTTCGTGTTGATTACCTTGATCAGAATAATTCGATGTGCACGACGAAGATCTTGATCTATGACTATGATTCATGGTTTGCCAAAATATTAATAAGATTAACAATAACAGAAGGAAAAAAAACTAATGGTGATTATTTTCTACATTCTGAAAGTAGAGGAAAAGGATAAATCAACTTAAGCCATAATTTGATACGATGTTTATTTTGACAAAAAGATCAACAACAAACAAACGTTTCTAAATACCTTGAAGGTAGAAAAAGTTCTGAAACCACTTATATTACTAGAAAGAAAAATTATTTTTTGTATAACACACAAAAAGAGAAAACAACAACAACAAACTTCCATATTTCCGGCTTTCAGTTATTTTTATATTTTCCAGGAGTAGGGATGATGACTACACACTTAGGCAGCTCTGATAATTTTGTCGAGACTTTCCCTGTAATAAACACTATCGTTAGCGCCAGAACAATAGTGTAACATAGATTTTGATCAGAATTCTAGTTGTAGCTACAAGAAACGCAACTCAGACTATTATTAAGCCTACGTAATAAATAAAAAAAGGGCAGTCCGTCAGTTAGAACTTCAAAGCAAAACAAAAGAACATATGGCGAAAGTAGATAGTCAACACTGCGAACGCCAACCGAAGAGAGGCGTAAGAATTGTCTTGACTTTAGACCTATGGGGATCTTTGGAGAGTCGCGAGAAAACTTTTCAGATGTATATTAGGTTACGAGGGTTACACATCAAATCAGAGAAAATATCCCAACATATTTTAGCTGGTATCCACTAAAGGAATGTGTAAGCGTTATCTTGGATTCAAAGTCATGGAAGGTCGTTCGCAGATATAAGTTCCTAAATTCAAGGGACCGAGCGAGTGCAGACGAGCGGTACCTTGTAATCTAGGGTTTTACAAAATGGTTGTCTGTGTCAATGCGCAAAATTCGGAAAAATGGCTGTTAGATATTTCATGGATAAGCCAATTATAAGCGAGAAAAATAGAATAGGACGGAGGACGGTAAGAGTCAAAATTGACCCCACCACAGATCAACCGTATATTAACCGATCTGATGTAGTTTTGTTTGCGATTAACTCTAACATATTTTTAGATCTTAAAAATCCTTCTCAGTGTCCCTTGAAACATTTACGGAAAAAAACTTTGTCCTTGTTAAACGCACAATACTCAGGGGGTCGTATCACGAAAAAACTTAAGTCTGACTTAAGTCAAAATTTGGACTTAAGTCAGGACTTAAGTCTTCGTTTAACTTAAGTCACTGACTTAAGTCTTTGAACTTAAGTTTTACCGTATCA